CGCTTGAGCTCACACAACTGTTGGTTGCAACTGTCAACTCCAAAAAAAATACCATATTTACTTTCCCCCCCCTCATTCTCTACAAAAAAGGCCGCAGGATACGGAAAGCGAAAAAAGGGGGGTTTTTTTCTCCCCCCCCCAAAAAAAAAAGGGGTCGCCCTGTCTGTTAAAAATCCGTTAGAAAATGGCCTTTTCGGGTTTTTTTTTCTTCATCAGCTTTAGTTTTCGTCCATGGTTGGCATGGGGGTTTGTTACGAAAAAGGGCGGGGGGGGGGGGGCGCCTAGGTGCGGTTTGCAGGAGATGCTTCGGCGGCCTAGCAGGCAAGCGCGTCATCTCGACTTTTGTCACTCGTCCCATCGGCCTTTCCCCCCTTCGCTGAATCTTCCATTATTAAGCCAAAGTCGCAGACGCCCTCCGCATACGGCGAGACCGAGGGCAGACACTATCGCGAGGTCGACCCAGCCCTTTCCTTTTCATCTTCAGACCTGGAGAAGACTGATTGCTTATTATCACCTGGGTGTACTGGAAGGCTTTCCCTTGACTTTCTCCCCACCCCCCAGCAAATTAACTTTCCCATCGCAACGCTCGTCTACCCCTCCAACCCGTCACTTGCTCACACCTAAATCCCTTCTCTTCTGAAGATCATCTATTGCGCAATCCCGCTTTCACAAGGCGACACATCCACAATATCCCGATCCGTCGACAGCCGACGCCCGAGGGCGCCAGTATTACCCCTCGCCTGTTTTGCATTTTCTCGTCGACCCGGCTTAGAAAAAAGGACGTTCGTCGCGATCCGTCATGACAAAGCTTATCATCTCCACCGGGTCCGTACCGCCCTATCCTCTCTTTTCGTCAATGCAACGTTGGTCGCTAGAGAATGATGACCAAGCGACCGGTGACGCTGTAATAACGAGCATTCATGCTGCGCAACAGAAGCGGGGGAACAATCAGAAAAGAAGGAAAAATCGGCTAACTGACTTGCCCCACGAACAGGAATATCGTCTCGGGCGGCCCCTCCATCATCCGCAAACCCGGCGCATACCGTTCTAACCTCGAACTCACAAATTCCCTGCGAAGCAATTTCCTCGCCGCTCAGCAGGACTACTCTGCTGCTGCCTCGCCCGAGTCCGAGGCTGAGGCCACGACGCCGGCCGAGACCAACGGGTTCACCAATGGTCACACCAGCAATGGCAACATTCCCAACGGCCTGAATGGTCATACCAATGGCCATCTGACCAATGGCAACGGCAACGGCCACAGCACCAGCAACGGCAACGGCTCCAATAGCCCGCGCTTCGACGCCAACGGCCGCCCGCGCCTCGATATCTGGACAGCCCTCGAGGATCATACCGACACGCTCTACGTGCCCCGCATTGACTGGGATCTGGCCGGCCTGCAGGAGGAGCCCTCTGCTTACGACGTCACGGTCAAGCTCTTCTTCCTGCCCTCGGCCTCGGTCGCCGACCGCGCGCGCCATGCCAGCGAAGCCCTGGCCCTTGTCCGCCGCGAGCTCGACATTGAGCGCGTCGACCTACTCATCGCCAGCTTCCCCGACATGTCCTTTGAGGGCGACTGCGAGTGGGAGGCTGACAAGCGCAATGCCCAGCAGGGCGATGTTGAAGCCGAGGCCGCGACCTGGGCTGTCCTTGAGGATCTGCAGCGTCAGGGCCTTGTAAGCAACCTTGGGATCGCCGAGTTTGGCACCGAGAAGCTCGCGGCATTCCTCAAGAAGGTCAACGTCAGGCCAGCCGTCGACCAGATCAACATCCACAACTGTTGCAATGTGCCGCCGCCTCTTATTCAGCTGGCCAAGGCCGAGGGCATCGAGCTGCTCGTGCACACAGACTGCACCGATGTGCTGCCCAAGGGCACGCTGCGCGAACTACTCGGCCACGGCCTGCAGGGCGCCGGCGTTCTGGCTGACCCTGTCGAGGGACACGACGGCTTGCGCGGAGAGCTAGAGCCCCAGTGGGTCGTCAAGTACACGGCGTTCGTCAAGAACCGCGGCGTCATCGAGAATAAGGGCTACTTTGCTGGTGCGGAGCTCGTCGCGGCGGCGTGAGCGAAGGGTCATATGGCGGCGGCAACAGCGAAGCGGAACGGAGGATGATTTGGGCTTTGATATACCACACCCACGCCCCCGGGACAGTCGATTTTTCTAGAACAAATGCATAGCGTGATTTGGATGCCTTGAATTTAAGAGGTACCGGCTTTCAATGAAGACTCTATTCAAGCTGTACTTTTTTCGCCTCCATGTGAATCACGCGGAGCACTCAGGCCTCGCTCGCGATCATGGCAGCCGCCAGCCTCTGCCCCCTCTCGCCACCGAGGTAAATGTCGTCCTCAGCACTCTCGTGTCCCATGTCGACAGCAATCTGATACCCAGTCGAGACCGTCTCCTCATCCACGCGCAGGCCGTTCTCGACGAGGGCCATGATGACACTGCGTATGCGCGAAATCTCGCGCATCGTCTCCGTATCGATGCGGTCGTTCTGGCTCGAGTAGACGTTGGCGCTGACCGTGTCCTCCATGCGGTTGAGGCCGACGACCTCGCCGGCTCCGGCGGCGCTCTCGCCGTCGGCCTTGACGAGCTTGCTGATCCAGATGTAGCCGTTGACGCCGAGCGTGACCTCGATCTGGTCGGCGCCGCGGGCCGAGGCGTCGACGGCGAAGCTCTGCCTCTTGGCGCGGACAACACCGGCGCCGCCGCCGCCGGTGCCGCTGACGGCGCAGAAGAGGCCGTTGCGCAGCTTGCCGTAGCGCAGGGAGCGCGTGTGCAGGCTGGCGCCGCCCTCGGCGTGCAGCGTCTGGACCTCGGCGACGAGCAGGTCGCCCTCGGCGAAGAAGGAGCGGATCTGCAGCTCGTCCGTGTCGGTGCGCTTGCGCAGGATGCCGCCGGGGAGGTTGATGGCGGAGATTTGCAGCGTCGCGAGCTGCGAGGCGCCGACGTCGACGCGCCACCGCTTCGGCTGCACCTCGACGATGCGCCCGACGACGAGGTCGCCAATCTCGGGCGTGTACCGGGCGCGCAGCGGCCGCACTGACAGCAGCTTGTTGGTGCGGGTGATGGTGCCGGCGACGGACGAGACGATGGAGCCGTCGGCCGCGCTGACGTACGTGCCGTGGCCTCTGAGATCCATGGTTAGCACGACGATTCAGGCACGGGGAACAGAGAGATGTGATACCGCATCCACTGGGGGTCGTCGGTGATGACCTCGCCGGGCGTGACGATATCATGGTGGCCAGCATTGCGGGCGCGCTTGGCGGGGCGGCTCATGCTGAGGTCGCCATCGAGATCGACGCCGCCGTCGTCTGAGTCTGAGTCGGATGCATAGACTGTGTTGGTGTGCACCTGCGGCGTGGGTTTCGGCGCATGGATTGTGATGGGCATGTTGGGTATGGGGGCGGCAGGGTCTGCCGGTGACGGGGGAGGTGAGTGTTCAGATGTGCCCGGTCAGGTTGAGATGCGGTTCCTGTACGTGCATGCGTCGTAGTATGTTCGTTGCTGAGAAGATGGCGCTGCAAGGCTGAGTGATGGTGCTGGGTGGGATGCACTGAAGCTTGTGAAGTGAAACTTTTTTGGAGGTGAGCTCAGAGACTCCATTTGGGTCCGTGGACGACTTTTGACCTGACAAAGGTGCTCTGGATCCGTGGGCGCTGTGTAGCTTCACAACACCGCATGCACAACACCCGGGGATGCTCAACACGCGATTCAATTCGAGAAAAAAGACAGCAGTGTTTTAGATTTCTTCGTTTTACAGTGTTGTACAATATCATTATGCGTGGCTGTAGCACCGAGCTGTGGGCCATGACGCCGCCAGCTGCATCTACAGCTTCGACCCCTTTGCTCGGAGCATCGTCACTCGGGTGAGTGTGTCCCCCTTTTGGTATCTCTATCTTCTTGTACAAATATCCCGTACACCCTGATCTTTTTTCTTTCTTTTTTCTTGCCGGGCCATTTGCGCTCTACTTGAACAGCCTCCAGATGCCCAAGTAGGCGAGTCCCAGGGAGATGCCCGTCACACCGAGCTTGCGACTCCGCATGCCGAACATGGTTTTGCGCTGCAGCAGAGCCGCTCGCTGCTTCTCGAGGTGCGACATGCCGGTCAAGTAGTTGTAGCCAGCTAGGCCAAGGAAAGCGCCGCCGCCTGGTACGATCGGATTAGCAAAGGTGTTGCAGGAGAGGCATCGGCCCTGGCAAGGCAGACGAACCGATGACACGGCACGACGTGCAATCATCGCCACGGTCGGCGCGCAGCAGATCGTTGAGATTCTCAGGCTTGTCGAGAGAGCCGAGACTGGGGACGTCGCCCGCCATGGTGAGGAGCAGACAAGGCGAAGTGGGATCGAGATTTGGGTGGGAGATGGGTGGTGCTTCTGCGAGTGCTCGACGGAGACAAAGAATGCAATGCGACCAGACGACATGGCCCTGTCTGCCACTGGCAGCCAAATGTCGCAGTTCTGAAGCTCCGACCGCCGATGTGGGGGCTGTCACCGTGGGCATTCCATGTCATCATGTTCCTGGCTGGAGCTTGCTGCCCCCCCCCCCCCCGCCACGGCACGATCGATCAACAGGCCGACCACTGGACTTCTCTCCCCGTACCTCGCCTCGCCTTGTCTTGCCTGCTTGACACCCACCAAACCAGCCTCGCAACCCCCGCGAGCGGCCCCTCGAACCATGAGCGGTGTTATCGAAGCGCTGCATATTTTTGATGAGCACAAGTCAGTCCGTCCCAACCTGAGATCCCTGGCTGCCACGAACGCCGCCCTGACCCAGCCAGCCACGCCGTCCTGTCGCACACCTACACCGGGCGGCCGCTCTCTGCCCAACATCTCCTGCCTCTCTATCTAGAACACCCCGCGCCACGACCCAACCTCATCTACCTCCCGAACACGAACCCACCGACCCTCGTCTTCAGCTTGCATCATGCGAACCTGCTGTACATCGCCACGTCCTCGCAAGAGGTCGAACCCCTGCTCGCCCTCGAGTTCATCCACCGCATAATCGACGCATTCGAAGAGTTTCTCGGCGCACCACTGATAGCGCACAAGATTGAGAACAACTACGATGTCGTGGCCCAGCTGCTCAACGAAATGTGCGATGCCGGTACCGTCAACACGACAGAGCCCAACGCGCTGCGAGATCTCGTCGAGGTCGAGGGGTGGATGGGCAAGCTGCTCGGCAGCATAAATCTCCCAGGGTATGTGCTGGGCAACAGATGATAGAAGAAAGGAAAAGCAACGAGGGCATACAGTCTGACTGGTGACAGGAAACCCGGCAACCTAGCGACGAGCTTCTCCAACTCGAGCGCCCCCTCTCTCATCCCCTCCAACACGCCCGCTCTGCCCTGGCGCCGCGCCAACGTCCGCCACACGTCCAACGAGCTCTACGCCGACATTGTGGAGACGCTCACCGTCACTCTCGCTCCCTCGGGCCGACCCCTCGCCGCCTTCGCCAACGGCACGATAGCCTTCACGTGCAAAGTCTCCGGCGTGCCCGACATACTCCTCAACCTGACGAGCCCCTCTGGCAAGCACAATCTTGGCGGCATCATGGACTTGCCAGTGTTCCACCCCTGCGTGCGGCTGGCGAGGTGGAAGGAGAGGCCCGGCGAGCTCAGCTTCATCCCGCCCGACGGACGCTTCATCCTGGCGGGCTACGAAGTCGACCTGTTGCCGTTTACGGGGGGCAAGGGGGCCAACCTCAAACTGCCCGTCAACATGGAGATCAAGACAGGGCTGGGCCCGGCGGGGGCAGATTTCGAGGTCCGGTTGCACGTGAACAAGATGATGCTCAGCTCCGGCGGCGCATCGTCTGCGTCCTCGAGCCAGTACGGTCGTGGCGGACCGCATTCCGGGTCGCCAGGGGCGCCGCTGCTCGAGGGGCTCGTCATCAAGGTGCCGCTGCCGGCGGACGTGCGGAACCTTTCGGAGATCCGGCCGAGCAAGGGCGACGCGAGCTACAACCCCGGCGAGAAGCTGCTCGAGTGGCATGTGCCGACAAAGGATCTGCCGTCGAGCACGTCGTACTTTGGACTTCGGTGCACCGTCGTCGGGCAGCTGCCGGACAAGGACGAGCAGGAGCTCGACCCGTCAGGGTTCGGGTTCGGCATAGAGTACACTTACAACGAGCCGTACCAAAGCGCATCGAGCAAGACGAGGGAGGAGGCCGCGGCGGGCGCCGATGAGGAGAGGGATGCCAAGAAGGTGGCACAGAACAAGATGCTGATGCCCACGTCGGCGTCCGTGAGCTTCTCCGTCAAGGGATGGCTCGCAAGCGGCATCAAGGTGGAGAGCATCATGATCGACCCCAGGAAGAGCAAGGGGCTCGGTGACGGGGTCAAGCCGTACAAGGGCGTCAAGTACCTGACGGTCAGCCACGGCGGGGTGGAGATTCGCTGTTAGTCGAGGGGCTGAGGGGCAAGCGGCCTGCTGGCCAATGCGGACATGAAATACCTATCCAGAAGACGTTGTTCGTGGGGTGCAAAGCTCATGGTTCATCAACCTGCTTCCGTCACGTTCGACACAAGAATTGGTGTGTTGGCTCCTCGAATGATGCATCTTTCCCGGGTGGCTCCCATGACTATGATGCCGAGAAGCCAGTACCTCAGTCCGTCTAGATGTTGGCAGATTCATCTCGCTCCTGGCAGGGTCTCAGTACCTTGGACAGCCATGCATGTCCGCACGCCCCTTTTCCGCTGCAGGAGCCCTTCTCCGTAGGCCCTTTCCCAGGCAGGTACAGCAGACAAGTACCTTACTCAGGTGAGAAGACGGCGACGCAG